CGTTTATACTACATGAGATTTAAACAAGGAGTATTGGCAGATTCCCTTGACTCCAATATACAGAGAAAAAAGCTCCCTTTTCCACTTCGTTTGGATTATACCGGTTTGTCACCCTTCCATTTGGTTTGTTTGGAGCCCCAGCAACGTTGCAATGACTCATGGACAGAATCCTCCACCTGCATTGCTTATTTAGATGACATCATATTTTATAGTAATGATTGACAGTGGCATTTTCAACATGCTGTCCTGAGATCCTTGATTTGGGCGGGACTTGCAGCAAATCCAAATTGTGGACAGGTGGAACTACGGTATCTGGGCTTCCACTTGGGCCATGGGGAGGTGCATCCCCAAATTGATAAGAGAGCAGCTATTGCGGCCTGTTAACAAACCTGTATGTATTACTTGCCATCCCAATTTAGTCTTCTGTATGTACAGGAGCAAAGAATCAAGTGGCATCCAGAGTCACTGATGCTTGATTGTGGACTCTGCATTTCAGCACACCGTACATATTTAGTTGCTGGGCATGGTGGTCACTTACCAGACACTTACCACATCTTACCAGACTTTGGATATCACCATCTGCACTTGTCTAATTATCCTAGTAAAATTGTCTACCTCAAGAAATTGGACTGGAACTTAGATCCTCAACAACTGCTACCACTGTACCATACAGAGCATCCTGATTGGGTGTATCACTGTATGGTATGACAGTTTCTCCACGCACAACTGCAAAGCTCTCCAGAGAGTGGTGAGAACTCATCACAGGCAAGTCTCCCAGGACAGTTCACAAAATGACCTCAGTCCTCAGTCACCCAGCACACAAACTATTTTCCAGATTCTTATCTAGCAGACGATATAGAAACATCCAGTCATGGACAAGCAAGTTAAAAAGCAGTTTTCACCTTTCCATTGCTTCCTGGACACTTTAGTGCAATGCTTTTCTTGTAGTCTTGTGTATGCCTTTTTTCCCCTTTCCTTACTTTTATACAATGTATATTGTACTCGTTTGATCTGTTTTATTATATTTTGATCAGTTGTTTAAGCTCTTGTTTCCGTGTTTTGTGTATTCTGTTACACATAAAAGGGTTTATATCATTGACATACCATGCGAATGATCAATAAACTTTTGTGAACTCTCTCCTCCCAATTTTAGCCACTCTACTGCTTGGTGCACCACACATTATCATTCAGCTTTATCACTTTGTTGTTAATGTTTTGTGAAAGGGGAATTGTTAAGGGAAAAAAAATGTAGTAGTCACTGTAGATATAATATTTTATTGTCTGCTGTTGATACAAATTTTGGTCAAGTTAACCAAAGCTTAATCAAGAAATGTGCATTATTTCCTAGTCAGACAGAGTCGGGACATAAAAACACTAATGTAAACAATTTATTAGAATGAAATTTAAAATATACATTATATTAATTACATTAAAGTAAGGCACTCTGTTAATGAAGCTGAAGCATAAGTTGTCTGGTTGCAGATTAAGATTTTATCTAAAAATGTAGATGAAATGAGAATCAAATTGTCTGAACATGTGCATGCAGGCAAAGTTTGGTTTGATTCCCGGAAATGGCACATAGTTTGTCCATGATGCAGTTTTTTCTTCAGAACAGTACAACTGATGTGCTGCTAAATTATGCACATAGACCTCTAGGCAAAAAACTAGCCCCAACCAAGAATATATAAAAGAGATTATGTCAGATAATGATCTACTTACAATATATTTATCCTATGATTACATTTGATATGTATCCAAACAGCAGCCTCAGATCTACATGGTCTTTCCAAGAAGCAAACTAAGCAATAATAATTTTAATAAAAGTATATTTATATGTAATGTGTAATATATATTTGCTCTAATGTACTCCAAATATACAAATATTTCTCATCATTATATACTATATTATATACTGTAGTATAAAACAATACAATACAATTATTCATGTCTAAAACCTCCATGTATTGTATGTGTATTTTTAAGGAATGCTCATAATTAAATGAGTGGGAAATGCAGCAGTTCTGTCTGAGCTTGAGTGCGCTGGAGGTTATGAGCTGTACGTCTTGATTTTCTGTGTGATGTCTGCACAACAGATGGGGCACTTGCTAAGAGACTCAGAGCACTTCTTGCAGGTCACCAAGTGTCCACAGGGGATGAAGACGATCGCAATGTCACTGTCCATGCACACTTTGCAGAGCTTTTCACGTTGCAGCTTCTCCAGCTTCTTCAGGGGGTCTTCAGCTGAAAACCACAAGGAAAGATTACTCCCTGATTTGCTGCATGGATATCTTACATCAGCGAGACCAGAAGTTTGCAACAAACTTCACTTACTCTGAGCTTCCTGACACACATCAGAATCACTATCTAACACACCACTGGTTATGTCTCGAATGAGATCTTCCACAGTTGAATAGCCTTCCCTGCTCCGATGGATCCGTTCTAAAATGGTTCTTTCCACTTTAACAGGATCAAAACCCATGTCAACAGCTTTCCTGGCAATCTCTGATTGCAGTACATTTGATGCTGCTGAAGAAAAAGCCAAAATAAGATGCATGCCAGAAAAATCCTACCAAATTCACATCAGACATCAGATTTTGTGGACAAGGCTGACACAATACACTTTAAGCTACAATATATCAAAATCAAATGTACATACTTCTCTCATGACTGGAAAATCCATTCTAAAGAGATAAAAAATATGAATAATCAAAATTAGAATGTAATGCTTGCTCGGTATTGAAAATATTTTAAATAGATTTTTAAAAAAAAAGTCATTATCCACATTCCACATGAGATTAGCACATTTATTAGTTTCACTCACTGAAGAGCTGAGTCCAGGGTTTCTTAGCTGAACACTGTTGATAAACTCTTGCCCTTTTTCTGCGAGCAGGAAACTGCATCTATTGGTTATTTCAAAAGTGGATTCACAGGTCACATTTCATGTCAAGGCATACATTTACTAGGGTTAGGCTTAGGGAATCTAATTGGTCACACGGTGTTGATTAATTTTCTGTAACAGCATGGCTCTGACAGTAATGCTGACTGCAAGACAAGTGACAGGTTTGTATTAATGCGGTCTTCCTCATACATTTTCATTTCTACAGTAACAACTCATTCACAAGGATATGTATGGCTCAAACTCCACATTACTAATAATAAACTGATTAAAAACGTGGTGTAAAGAAAAACATATAGTCATTGATATGGTGATGTTTTCTGTAAGGGGATATTTTATTTAACATTTATGGAAAGAGTCTCTAGTGTCAGTGCTTTGTAACAGTCAGTAAGCTTTCTGATACAGGAAAGTGTTCACGACATTTTTCACCAGGACATTTTAGGTGCTTTCCAGTTTTTTTTGGTAACATGACAAGCTGTGTTTTCATTGTCTAATTAAGTTAAAGAAAAAGAAAAATGGATGTTGGCGAGGGAATGACTTTATAACTGCTATAACATAAGTGATAACAGAAACTAGTGTGTTTCAGAACATTAAATGTAACTACAAATAGATAAAAAGTACAACTTGTTCTTTAATTAAAACTGCTGTTGTATAAGAGGAAAAAAAAAACATTTAAGGGCATGCTGTTATAGGAAAATAATCAGCTTTGGTGTGGTAACATTAACTCTACTTCATACTGAACCTATTCACATCACCCCATTATTGATTACATTGAATAACAAATTACCCTGGATAATGCTTGGCATGCTCCTCCCAGGGATCCTCATCTGGCTGCCAGTTCTTCAGACGTCCTCCACATTTGAAGCAAACCACGCAATCTCGCTCACCTGCATAAACAACATGCATGACAGGGGCATCATAATACATCACAATAACGTGATTGTAAATATGTCTGTAAACATGCTAGTGTCATAGCACAGTCCTACAGTAGAAAAAATGTGTACTGTTACAATCTGCATAAGACAAGAAAACAAAAACACAGTAGAATGGCAGAAATAAGCCTTACCTGTGCTAGAAAACCCAGCTCTAGCCAGCCTTTCATGGCTGATGGGATGCGCTCTGTCCCTGAAGCTTTCAAGTCGTTCCTCAAACGATTCCATTGAACTGCTACGACCACTGCTTCTCTGTCTCGGCTGCTCAGAGGGGATGTTCCCCACATCATGACCCAAAATGAAGAAGCAGTTTGGGTAAGCTCTGGCATGTTCCTGCCAGGGATCATCGCCTTCCTCCCAGTTGACCAGCATGCCTGCGCAGCAGAAACACTGCACCCTGTCTATTTGCCTGTCAGCCTCTGGCACATAAAACATCCCAGCTTGTGCTAGGTCATGAGGCTGGACTGGGGACGAAGAGGGCCAGTTGCTGAACGTCCTCAGTCGCACATCTTCACTCTTCATATGTGGAATCTTGGGGTACAGTGACTCATCCACCACTTCTCCTGTTCTTAATCTAAACTCCATGGCTTCCGCTTCTTCGTCGTAGATGGAGCCAGGAGACTGAGAGGAGGATGCATCAGCAAGGCTCCTGTGATGAACACACTTGAGGAACATGCAGGCAGGTGAGACATTGTGGTGTCTTTCTACTGGGCTGTCCCCTTGGCGCCAGTTCTCAATGGTGTGCAGGCAGCTGAAGCAGCGCACTCGATCAGATTCACCAGTGAAGTAGAAGCCCGCCCGGGCCAACCTCTCTGCAGGAACCTGCTCAGAATGGGGAAAAGCCCGGAAGGAGTTCAATCGTGTGCTCATCGCAGACCAGTCTGGCAGTCCGTCATCACTTTCAATTTGGTCAAAAACATTAAAACCAGCCATCGTCACAATGAGAAGGTCAGCTGAAACACAAATACACAAGATCCTTAAGTTGTTGTTGTTCTTTCGGCTGCTCCCATTAGGGGTCACCACAGCGGATCTGCACACTGGTCCGGATATTTGATTTGGCACAGTTTTTACGCCGGACGCCCTTCCTGACACAACCCTCCCCAACTGTAACCGAGCTTAGGACCGGCACTGGGAGTGCACTGTCGCGTGCAACCCCAGTGGCTGGGGTTCGGTTCCCTAGCCGGGAATCGAACCTGGGCCATGGCAGTAAGCACACCAAGGCCTAATCACTAGTCCTCCAGGGACCTCACACAGATCCTTAAGTACCTTGTGAATAAAGAACACTGCTAATAGTCTCTGCCACAGTGACTGAAAGTTAACATTATTAAAATAACTTAGAAATCAGGAACCTTGGTTTGAGTATAAAACAATTCCTGGTTTTGATTAACCTGTTTATCAACTCTGTCCATTCTTCTTAAAAAAAAAAAACCCTACATGCGTATCCTATGTCACGCGACTATCCCGCCTACATATAATTCACACACCCATTTACAAAACATTTGGACGAACACCTAAGCTCATTATCTCCTCCAGAATGGACTTTCAACTCCCAACAACTGAGTGAGTTACTACAGTATGTAAACATTTATAACTTAAAAAAAACAAAAAAAAAACAAAACAACGGTTCATCTGCAAACCTGTTTTCACCTGTATGTCACGTCAGAAGGCACGTTCTGTAGGTGAACTGCGTTTACTGCACACTGGATATTCTGGATATTTCCTAACAGCTCTTACGGAAGATCACACTGGCAACGAACAGTGGATCCTTCTGACGTTCAGCTCTAACAAACCCGGTGTAACCAAAAGAGAAAACTACAGCGGCAGCCTTCAACTCGCATGCGCAAGAGTTTGCGCGTGCGCTTTATTCGAACGCGTAATCTCGCACCATCTCGCGATAAGTCCTAAACGTATTTAGGATAATACGCCTCTCTATGGCAAGATAGATTTACACTAAATGTCACTGAACTTTAAAATAGAACAGGGCGTCTAGTTTCTTTACATACAGTCTATTACATTCTGAACAGTAAGTTTATAAGGATAAAATAAATACGGGTAAAAATAAAGGAAATGACTTGTTATTTAGTTATTTAGCTAAAGCTACGCGACAAGCTCCACGGTAAAATAATAATAATAATAATAATAATAATAATAATAATAATACACAACTACACTGACTCATGTCACCTCTTCTGCTAACTTCTAGCAACTTTTAGCAAACAAAACTTCACAATACATAAAAGTTCTAGCAACTTTTAGCAAACAAAAGCACACCACAAGTCCATAAAATAGTGTATAACTTCTAAGCTAGTGGATTGTCAACAGTAATAACTTTCCCACTTCACTAATGGAAATTTGTCATTTCAGTGCTTGTGTTTGTATTTTCGGAACTGCACATAAGATGAGACTTTTTGAAATTTCCCTGGTGGAATTATTCGTGTATAATTTTTTTGCGCATTTCTTCCCGCTGCAAAATTTTTTTACGTATCTGCAAATATTTTTTGACACATTCACAAACTTCAGTTTACATGTTCACACATGTGAACTCAACCATACATTTTTCCCACATGCACACAAAATGTGACAACTGCATTATCCATACTAAACATCACAACTCAACTTCTGTACAACGTCAGCTTTTAATGTTTACACTTTTACACGTGTATTCACAGCACTATTTTCATTATAGCATCTCACAAGTGCTTTTTTTTTTATTACTGCTTGCATTAGTTTAAAAAAAAAAAAAAATATATATATATATATATATATATATATATATATATATATTAGATAAAGCGTGTCCAGCAGATACTTGATCTTTGGTAATACTAGTTGCCTTGTTGACAGTGATGGCGTCCAGGTTAACAATTCAAACAAAAGTACCAAAATGCTAAAAGAAGCAGTAGCGGGAAATGAATTTGGTCTAATTGTGACAAACTATTCCAGTACTGTTCACCTTCCTACCTTGCCAGAACAACACACACACATAAAAAGGGCAAATGCTCAATCTAGCAACGCCTCACGTCAACGTGACTTAACCTAACCTACGCTCATGCTAACATGCTAGCCGAGCCAGCGACAGTACAAACATCATCAGGAAAAAAGCGCGATGGATTTATAACTATAACTCACCTTGTGTTGGTAAATCAGGCACGTCTGCCTCTAATGTATCAGGCGGTTATGTATCGGATATACTGTTGTATACCGACAGTTTTCCTGTGGACTGACAGCTGACCTACTCCACGCTCCCACCGGAAGGACCGAGACCACAGCAATGAGGAGGCGCGTGACGTTAAACTTCCCTCTGTATCCGGCACAACCCATTTCAGACATTTACATTTGCACATTTATTTTCGTGCCCTCGCAGTAAATTTGTTGTCCTCGTTTCCTCTGTAAAACCTCTTTTAGATCCAGCTAATTAATAATCAAACGTACATCTTCCTTTCTCACACCATATTATCTGTTAATAATAATACTAATACTACTACTACTACTACTACTAATAATAATAATAATAATGCATCCATCTATACCCGTGAAGTTGTCCACAGTACTGTAATTGATCACGAATAAAAATGACTGCATCCTCAAGATTACAAAAGGTCTTTCATTTACAAGGTTCTATAGTAGGACACTGTTGGGTAGCCTGACAATGTGATGCATGGAGAGACTAAAGCAAGAATTGCAGGGGGACGCACAAGTAGGCCATTTAAGGGAGAAAATCTCATTGTGACCCTTGAGAAGATCATTGGCTATGCAGCCTTAACAGGATTTGATTTTTTAATCTTTTTTTTAAATTTTTTTTATCAGATTTAAGTTTTTAATCTTGTTTGGAAAAAAAAGTATGTGGGTGCCTGATCAGATCACACAAAATGTTACCGCAAAGTTGGAATTGTTCCAGCATAAAGTGAGGGCTATAAAGACATGTTTTGCCAAGGAGTGGAAGAACTCGAGTGGCCTGCACATACATTTCACTGTGCTGTAACGTATATGTGACAAATAAAGGCTTCTTCTCTTTATATAACTTGTATACATTGCAATGAAATTCCAATGTTAAAAAAACAGTACACAAGACTACATAAAATGCAAATAAATAAAAGTGTGAGATGAGTGTAATTAGGTACTGTACTAGTAGTGTACTTTTTCTTAGGGTGGCTAGTTACTTTATGTAGTTTCCCCAACCGTGCCAGGATTTCTGAAAGGATTTTTATTTATCATTTTGTTTATATAGTCTCTGGTGGTCTAGCAGCTAAAGATCCTGCCCTCTCACTGCCACGGCCCAGGCTTGATTCCTAGGCAGGGAACCAACGCAGCCACTGGGAGTGTACTCTCAGTGCTGGTCCCAAACATGGATAAAATAGGAGGGCTTCATCATGAAGGGCATCCAGCGTAAAACCTGTGGCAAAATCAAAACACCACTGATCTGCTGTGGCGACCCCTACTTAGACACATGACTGAGCAGTAACTGGTGTTTAGTTATCCTAGCAGTAACTTGTTTGGTTATCCTACCAGTAACTCCTTTGGTTATCCTTGCAGTGACTTGTATGGTTATCCTACCAGTAACTCCTTTGGTTATCCTTGCAGTGACTTGTATGGTTATCTTACTAGTAACTCATTTGTTTATCCTACCAGTAACTCCTTTGCTTATCCTTGCAGTCACTTGTTTGATTATTCTAGAATTTCTTGCAGATAACTTTGTAACTGGAATCTTGACCTCACATGGAATCTTATCTCACTGCTGAGGCAAACATCACAGTGGAATGACACAATTGCACTTCAGTTTCACATAGAGCTAAACCCTTTTTACATGTTTCAAACCATCAGCGTAATTGTCTCACAATTAATACTGATAAAGGTCAACGATTCATTAATTCATTCCTATTCCTGTTGGGGGTCGCAGTGGGAACAGGCTGAGAGGGTGAACCCAGACTCTATCCCCAGCCATAGACTTCAGCTCCTCTTTGGGGATCCTCAAACCAACTGTCCTTGGTCTGCCCAGGGGTCTCCATCCAGTGGGTTATGCCTGATACAGTTCTAGCAGAAGCTGACCAAAATCACCTCAATTCGGTGGAGCAGCACGTGTCCACTGAGGTTTTCCCAGATTGCCATGCTCCTCACCCTATCATGGAGAGTATGCCCAGAAACCCTGCGGAGACCTTATATGATTATTATATCAGTCACTACCCCCAACTCATGACTACAGGTGATGATAGGGACCTAGATGGAGAGATATAAACTCCTCCACCAGGGGCAGGAGAGTCAAGGCCTCAGACATAGAGGTGCTGATTTTCATCCCAGCAACTTCACACTCAGTAGTGAGATGTTTGAGTACATGTCAGAAGTCCACTTCAGAAATTGCCAAGAGTAAATCATCTGCATTTTACTGGAATGCACACTGGACACCTTTCCAACCTTGAAGACAAGACACACCCCTGATAGAGACTGATCAGTACCCCGATGGCTGTACTCATACAGAGACTGGATTACATAAACTAGTGACACAGATATCAAGTACTCCTGTAGTACCACCCACAATATATGTCAAGGCACAAACATTGTCTTATTGCATCACATGCTAGCTTATTGAAATATGGAAATATTCAATTGTGCCAATTTCCTTACCTTCATTTTGCAATTATACACATTTTCATATTAAAACATGTTCATAGTATATTCTGTTGCTAAAGCTACAGAGAAAATCATATAACATTAAAGGACTTGAGTAGCTGTAGGACTTGAGTCCATTCTTGAGACATTTCCTGGAGATGTATTGACTTGGATTATCTCTGATTTATTGCCATTTGTACTTGGACTTGTTTTGGTCTTGGACGTTGGTCTCCCTAAATATGGTCTTCATCTTGACTGAGAGTTTGTAAAAATGTCTGTCTTCTTTTCTTTTATTTTGACAAAAGTTAATTCCTTCTTCTCGTAAATATAGCATAATCATTGGCACAATGCATAAATGAAGCCAACTAGTTGAGAGAACTAGCATAATTAGTTCAAGTTCAACTAACTATTTAAGAATGGGCATTGAAATTGGCTGGTAATAAATCTTGTTTACCAGTGGTAGTGTGAGAAACTATGCCTTTTTTTTTAAGTGAGTGTTAAGTACAACACTATGTAAAGCAATACTTTAAATAAATAATAGGACATAATTTGACCTTACTGTGTTGTTTTATTGCCCATGTCTTTTCATCAATGCAAATGTGACATCATTTTACATTACAAACATACTACATACAACCCC